GACCCACCTACACCCCCCCTCCATCAGAGCTGCTCACCCTCGGGAGCCCTGCTAAGCCCCAGCCACCCCCGCACTCTTCATCCCTGCCGTGCTGTGGGGTCTGGAGAGCCCTGAGTGCTGCCCCATGGCACCGAGTACCACTGAGCCCATCGATGTGAGCCACCCTCGTGTTTTGGGGTGCTCACCCCAAACTGTCCCCATGGATGAGGAGGAAGAGAAGGAGCAGAAGCAGAGCGAGCACAGCCCCCTAATCCCCCGTGCTATTATCAGAGCTGTAATCGGCTCAGGCGCATGGCACGATATTGGCTCAGTAGTGCCGGGGTGCACCCAGCACCACAGAACCCCCAAACCCCATTGCTCAGCCCCATATGTGCCATCACGGGGTGGGGGGGTGATATGGCAGAGCAGCATTCTATCAGGTGGTTCCCATTAAATGAGTTTTGCTGGGGGAGTTTGTTGTCCCCGAGGTCCCCACGTGCACTGGCCAGACGAGCCCGGCGAGGATGATGATGAGGAGGAGGAGGAAACAGGACCGGGTAGGGCAGTTTGGGGAATGCAGTTTCAAACCCAGCACGCACCACGTGCAGCCCTTGGCTTCCCCGCAGCCTCTCCCAAATTTGCTTTTCCCAGGAGGTGATGGGGACTGTGGGAGGGATGGGAATGAGGGCATCGCCCCGCCGGGATGCGTGGGGCAGCCCCACAGCCGGGTGCTGGGAACAACAGGCTCCAAACAAAGCTCCCTTTGGCACGGATCAGAGCGCAGGGGATGCCCCTAATCCCCCCCTAGCGCCGGCCCCAACTCCTCCTCCTCCCCCACTGATAACAAAACCAACAAAACCGCCGCTGCCCTCCCCAACGGCATCCCCTGGCAACCGCCATTCAAAGGGACACAAAGGGGACAGCGACCACCGCCATGGGGGGATGCGGTGACCACGATGGGGACCAGCAACCCCAGCCAGGGGACTCCACAGGGGATGGCGGCAGTTGGAGGGGGGCAAATGACCCCATTTCCCCTCCAAAGGGCTTTGGCTGCAGCCCACTCTTGACCCCAAAAGGCTCAGATGACACCAGGGGCTCCAGGGGTGATGCTGGAGCTGCTGTACCTGTTTGGAGCATCGGCTGCCAGGCTGAGCTCGCTGTCCCCCCACCTTCACCCCCCCAGTGTCAATCCTGGGTGCAGCCAGTTGGTGACACAGTGGGGACCATTGGGGACAAAGCCAAAGGACCAGACCGAGCCTCATCTACTCCCTGCCCACAGGGAAACCTGAGCTCTGCAGGTAACCGGAGCTGTGGGGCCCCAAGGAGAGAGTCTGGTGTCACCAGGTGTGTTGTCACCACAGGGCTTAGTGTCAATAGGGGGGGGGGGTGAGGGGGGTTCCTTGTCACCACCAGCACTTTGTGGGATCGGCCCTCCCACGCCACGGCTCCAAATCCCAGCAGCGCCGCTGCTGAGCTGCTGAAGGGCCAAATCCCTGCCCCACGCACAACCTCGGGGCCACCCGGGGCAGCGGGGCCTCTGTGGGGACTGTGAGCCATTAGGGACAGAGGGCAGACCTTTATGGGGACTGTGAGCCACTGGGGACAGAGGGCAGGGGCTCAGAGCCTTCATGGGGACTGTGAGCCATTGGGGACCATGACCTATGGGGGATAGAGGACAGACCTTTATAGGGACTGTGACCCACTGGGGACAGAGGACAGGCTTTTATGGGGACTGTGACCCAGAGGACAGGCTTTTATGGGGACTGTGACCCACTGGGGACAGAGGACAGACCTTCATGGGGACTGAGACATTGGGGATGGAAGCCATGGGCTCTGGACAGGCTATGGGGATCGTGACCCATGGGGGATAGAGGTCAGACCTTCATGGGGACTGTGATCCATGGGGGGGAAACTGTGACCCACTGGGGACAGAACCCAGAGGGCTCAGAGACTTCATGGGAACCATGACCCATGGGGTACAGAGTCCAGGTCTTCATGGGGACCACAACCCATAGAGGTCAGAGCCTTGAAGGGGACTGTGACTCACAGAGGATGGAGACCATGAGCTCTGGATCCTCCATTGGTGACTGCAACCCATAGGGGATACAGCTTGGGGTCTTCATGGGGACCACAGTTATAGGGGACAGAACCCAGTGCTCATAAGGACCCACTGGGGACAGAGCCAAGCATCTTAGTGACTTTATGGGGACTGTGACCCACTGGGGACTGAGAACGATGGGGGTCAACACTCAGTGACTGTGGGACTTCAATGGGGCCACGACCCACAGGGGGCTGAGCTCAGGGGTTCAGAGCCTTTAATGGGACCACAACCCATAGGGGGCTGAGGGCCTTCAATGGGACCACAACCCAAAAGGGGTTGAGCTCAGGGGTTGGGGGCCTTCAATGGGGCCACAACCCACAGAGGGCTGAGCTCAGGGCCTTCAATGGGACCACAACCCAAATGGGGTTGAGCTCAGGGGTTGGGGTCTTCAATGGGGCCATAATCCATAGGGGATTGAGCTCAGGGGTTCAGAGCATTCAGTGGGGCCATGACCCACAGAAGGCTGAGCTCAGGAGTTTGAGGTCTTCAATGGGGCTACAACCCATAGGGGCTTCAGCTCAGGGGTTTGAGGTCTTCAATGGGGCTACAACCCATAGGGGATTGAGCTCAGGGGTTTGGGGTCTTCAATGGGGCCACGACCCAAAATGGGTTGAGTCAGAGCCTTCAATGGGACCATGAGCCATTAGGAGGTTGAACTCAGGGATTTTGGATCTTCAGTGGGGTCACAACCCATAGGGGGCTGAGCTCAGGGCTTGAGGACCTTCAATGGGGCTGCAATGCACAGAGGGCTGAGCTCAGGGGTTTGGGGTCTTCAATGGGGCCACGACCCATAGGGAGTTGAGCTCGGGGGTCTTCAATGGGGCCACGACCCATAGGGGGTTGAGCTCAGGGCTTTGGGGTCTTCAGCGGGGCCACGACCCATAGGGGGCTGAGCTCAGGGCTTTGGGGTCTTCAATGGGGCCACGACCCAAAGGGGGCTGAGCTCAGGGCTTTGGGGTCTTCAATGGGGCCATGACCCATAGGGGGCTGAGCTCAGGGCTTTGGGTTCTCTAATGGGACCACAACCCATAGGCACAGCACCCAATGGCTCCGTGCCCCCCCCCGACCCCCCAGCCGCCCTCACACCACCCCCCACCCCCCTCCTGATCCCTCACCGATGTACTCCGGATCCACTCGCGGTGAGTAAAGGCCGAATTTGATGAAGATGGGGAGGACGAAACCGACCCGGAGCCACTCGATGACGTAAAGCGGCGGTCGGTTCGATTGGGTTCCCAACAGATCGCAACCCAACACAGCGCTGTCTCCGACTCGACCCACCACGGCCCCGCTCTGCCCGCTGCCTGCACCGGGACGGGAAAGAGAATTGACAACCCGAACCGAACCGAACCGAACCGAACCGAACCGAACGGCCCCCAGCCCGGCCATGCGGTACCGTCGGTCCCAGCGAGCAGGCTGAGGAAGGCCGCGCGGAGCCACCACCGCATAGCACAGGTCCAACGTCCCGCAGGTCACCAGGTACCGCCGCCGGAGCTCAGCAGGGTTTCACCGGGTTCCCCGCGGCCCCGAATCGGGAACAGCCTCCGGTTCTTCATCGCCCGAACCGAAGCCGAACCGAACCGCGCCGCTCCGCCGCCAAAGCAACGGCGGTGGGAGGGGCTCGGCTTGGCCACGCCCACGAGGCGCTGAGGCGCTTCTGATTGGCTGTTGCCGGGGTAACGGAAGCTTGCTGGAGGCCAATGGTGGGGAGGGGAGGAGGGAGAGGGGCGCGAGGGGTGATGGGAAGTGTAGTTCTGAGGGGGGTGGGGTGGGAATAAAGGGCATAGGATGGGAATAAAGGGTATAGAATGGGACTGTGGGGGTTTGGGGTGGGAATAAAGGGCATGGGTTGGGAATAAAGGGTATAGGGTGGGAATGAAGGGAATAGGATAGGAATAAAGGGTATAGGGTGGGACAGAGGGGGTTTGGGGTAGGAATAAAGGGCATAGGGTGGGAACAAAGGGTATAGGGTGGGACAGTGGCGGTACGGGGTGGGAATAAAGGGCATAGGGTGGGACATAGGAGGTGGGGTGCCATGCCATGTCTTGGCATATCAAGCCATCCCATCCCATCCCATCCTGTGCCATGCTGTCCCATACCATGCCATGTCATGCCATCCCAAGCCTGCCAGACAACCCATTCGACCACAGGGTTTGAATTTCTGTGGTCTCATGCAGAGCCAAGAGTTGGGCTGGATGATCTCTGTGGGTCCCTTAAAACTGGGGACATCCCATGACTTTATGACTCTAGGATTCCAAACCATGCCATGCCATGCTGTTCCATACCATGCCATGCAAATGCCATCCCACGACACCCCTGTGACAACCCCCACCCTGCTGCTCTCTGGTTGCCCTCTCCCACCCTGTTCATCACCCCTTTAATCCCCTGCTGTGTCCCCACAGAGGGGACAGCAACCAGAGCCCTGTCCCCATCCCACAACCCTGAGCCGGAGCTGGGCTGTGAGCCAGGCTAGGGGCTCTGATGGTGGGGGCACCGGGAGGGGACACACCCCAGTCCTGACCCCATGGTGCCACCAGGCCCCCATGGGTATATGCCGGATTGGTGGCACAGCATGGCCAACCCCCACAGTACTGCAGTGGGGATGCTGGGGCCAAAACCCCCATCCCTGTCCCCTCCTTGGGTTGAGGGTCTCACTGTCCCCCCTCCCCATCAGCTCGGCCTGGCCCGGCCCCCAGAGCACGGGAGATTATTAAGGACAGAGCTAAAGTAAGAGGAGTTAAAGGAAATAATTCTGCTGTTAAGCTGCTTTCCTGCATCTCCCAGTCCCATGTGAGTGCTGCGACTCCGCGGGCTTAGGACCGTTCTGCACTGCCCCCGACCCCTTCCATGTCCCCACATCCTCCATATGGGACATCCCCTCCCCACCCCCCCAGCCACCCATGTCCTGTTTTGGGTGCAGGCACATGAGAATCCCCTGATGTCCCCACGTCCCCAAGTGGTGTCATGGTTTCCTCAGAGCCATGGTGGCACCCATGGGGGACACCGTGTCTCCAAGTCCCCAAGTAGGGGTGATGACCCCACCAAATGCTGCTCCGCACCGCTTTGGGATGTCCTCATCCCCACAACCACCTCCTCCCACCCATGCCAGCTCTGACCCCAGCCACTGTGTGCCACCGCCATGGTGGGACGTTTCTGGTGGAAGATGATGGCATTTTGGGGTTTCACCATCATAATTGGAGACGTGGAGGTGTTTGGGTGGAGGTGAGGGCTCCCCAGCCCAGGGTGCAGGTGGTGAGCTGGCACCCAGTGAGCACCGCACGCTCCGGCACGGTGCCACGCACCCAAGAATGGAGACGGTGACGCTTCTTGCACTTAGGATTTAAATGCCACCAAGGTTAGGAACAGCTGAGAAGAGATTTTCAGGATTGGACTTTTGGAACGGAGATGCCTAAATTCCGTCTAAGCTTCCGTTTAAGCATCCACGTCCCGGGACGGCCCTGGGGAGCTGACGCTGCTGTTACCCTCCGTGTTGCGTCACTGCGTTGGCTGTTGACCAGCTCTGGGGATGGCAGGCTGAGTCTCAGAGCCTTGTGACACGGGATCCCCAATTTTGGGGTGCCAATGTTGGGTTCCAAGCGGTGATGCTTGGGATGAAGGCTGAGGAGCGTGGCTTGGGGGATGGCAGCGGGTCAACGTGGAGCAATGGTGGGACATGGTGGAGGTGGGGATCTCTGGTGGCCATTTGGTTCCCCAGACAGAAGTGGAGAGGAGCAGAAGGAAGTCCTTTAATGGCAACAAGACAAACACTGGCACAACCATGATGGGCAAAGCTTCACAGGGAACATCTCACCTCCATCTAGCACGCACTGCTTGTAGTTGCTCACAGTCACACCTCCCTGCTGTCCTCTCCAGCACTACAATGAGGCAGATCCATGTTTCAGTTGGGCTCTTGGCCCTGCAGCTGTGCCTGCTGTGGCCCTGTTGGCACGGGGACCCCTCCCAGGGGGCTGCACGTACCCGAAGCGCTGGTGGAACTCCATGACAGCTTGCTCCTGCTCCCGTGTCTCGATGGAGCCTGGCCGCAGCCTGCGGATCTCACGGATGGCGTCGCTGCCGCTCATTTTCTGTGTCTTCACCAGGTAGCAGGCCAGCATGGTGCCCGTCCGGCCGTACCCCAGCATGCAGTGCACAGCCACTGCCTGCGCCGTGACACGGGCACCCTATGGTGTCACCTCCTTCTAGGTGTGACCTCCATCCTGCTGTCACCCACCCTGACATCACCCACTCCATATTGGTGTCACTCCCATCATCACCCCCTTGATGTCTCTACTCTCACGGTGACATCCTTCTTGTGGTGTCACCCACTATGGAATCACGTATCCCATACTGGCAGCACTACCCCACCATCACCCTCTTGGCATCACCTAAATCTTGGTGCCACCTCCATCTCGGTGCCACCTCCCTCTTCGTGCCAACCACCCCAACATCACCCCCTATCCTGGCATCACCTCCTCTACCACCCCCCTTGTTGTCACCCTCCAATACCTCCCAGTCCATACCTCCCCACGGCCGTTGGCTTCCTCCACCAGCTGCAGGAAGCTCTGGATCTGTCCGGGTGTTGGTGGGGTGAAGTCAGGCACACGGAATCGGTGGAGCTGCAGTGCGGGGCAGCAGCCGTGATGTGGGGGGGCCCTTTCAGACAGTGACACCAGATGCCTCACGCCCCGGCCCAGCAGGAAACGGTAATGACCCGGCTCTCGTGGCATTCCCAGCCCTGCCAGCCTCCCCTCTGCCACCCATGAGAAATTGGGGGGTTCCACCATCACCTGCAGGGTCCTGTGGGATGGGGACGTGGGACGGTGCTGCCATGCAGCCTAGAGGCAGGGCTGTGCCATACCCCAAGCCCATGGGACCCCCCAACACCGCAGGGTCAGGACCCCTGGGTTGTACTTCTCTCCAGACCCCAACATCCCACCCCATGCTCTCCTTAAGACCCCTCCCCACAATCCTCAGGACTCCCCAGTCCAGGCTTCCTGATACCCCCCGGGTACCTCCCCAGCCCAGAACCCCCAAGCCCTAACCAGACCCCCCCCAGGCCTCCTGCCCAGCCCCTTTTAGGCCCCCACCACCCCCAACCCAAGCCCTGGACCCCCTCCCTCCCCCCCAAGCCACTCCCCAACACCCCGTGCCCCAACAGCCCTCCTGGGCCATCCCTCCCCCGACACCCCCGGCCCCTCCCAGCTTCCACCCGGCCTCCCTCCGACCGCCCCGGGCTCCCCCCTCCACCCCTTCCCGGTCCGCCCCCACCGTAGGCCGCACTCGGCAACCCCGGCCCTGCGGCCTACCCCGAACCGAGACCCCGGCCCTGCGGCCTACCGCGAACCGAGGCTCCGGCCCTGCGGCCTACCTCGAACCGAGACCCCGGCCCGGCCCTGCGGCCTACCTCGAACCGAGACCCCGGCCCGGCCTGGCCGCCCCTCCCCCCTCGGTCTCCCCCGCCTGCCCCGGGCTCTCTCTCCTCCGTACCGGGGAAGGCCGCGGGGGGGCGGAGCGGGGCTGCAGGGAACGGCGGAATCGATCGCAGTGCCGGAATCGGGAGGCGGAGGCCGTGGGGCTCCGGGGTTGCACCGGGGACGAACCCCCCCCCCTCCCTCCATTCCACCTCCCCGGGGGGTGTCGGGGCGCGGGGCTGCACCCCTTGGAGGTACCGGGAGACCGGGACTCCTCCTTTGTCCTTGCTTTGTCCCCTCCCCAGCCCCAAGGAGAGGGACAAGGGGGGGTCTCCATGGATGGGGGAGAAAGAGGGACTCCAAAGTGGGGGACAAGGGAGGACCCCATGGAGGGGACAAGGGGGGGAATCCCAAGGTGGTGGAAAAGGGGAGACCCCATGGAGGAGGACAGTGGGGGACCCCACAGATGGGGACAAAGAGGGACCCCAAAGTGGGGACAAGGGGGGACTCCGTGAAGGAGGACAAGGAGGAACCCCACAGATGGGACAACGGGGGGACCCCATGGAGGGGTCAAGGGGGGGCTCTTAAGATGGGGGACAAGGGGGGACCCCATGGAGGAGCACAATGGGGGACCCCACTGAGTTGTTCTCCTCACCCAAAGCCCCCACCCCCTACACCACAAAATCCACCCAGCACTGCCTGCTGCTGCTTGTCGATCCCATTCCTTCTTTTATTTGTTGCCATGTGGGTGCTGGGGAGGGAGGTCAG